AGGGAAAGGCAAAAGCCGCGGCTCTTCCTTTTTGCCTTTCCCTTCCCGAGGCAACGCGGGACTGGAGCCGCGCGGAGCCGCGCCAGCGGTAACAACTCCTGACAGCCCCAGCCGGATACCTCAGCGGAGCTCGGGCGGTGCGAGCCTCGTTTTCTTGGGAGCTGGGAGAAGGCTGGCTGCTCCTTTCGGCTTCACGGGATTCGTTTCCACGGTGCGCAAAAGTGCCTCAGCCGCGGGCAGCCGCAGTGCTTCCCAATTACTATTTGCCGGCGTATAAGACGACCCGGCGTATAAGACGACCCCCCCAATTGGAGGCATCTTTTTCAGGGCAAAAAAGTCGTCTTATACGCCGGCAAATACGGTAGTTAGGTGAGGTGGAAATGCGTGAAGAGTTATAGATATTTTGTTGGAAATAAATCATATATTTCGAATGTAATCCTATACATTTTTATTCAAAATAAGCCTCTGAATTTTAGCCATAAAAAGATTACAACATAACTACTAAATGCATTCATTATTTTAAATGCATTCCTTATTCTTTCTTTGTTAATGTTAATCATCTTCTGCAATCATTTTAAAGCTTCTATCTTTGCAAGCTATAAAGTCCAAATGGCTCTGCAACCTGGCTTTAATTCCAAATATGTATACTGAAATAAAGCTAAGTATATTTATTTTCAATTCATATTTTCAGATGACTTGAAAATGAAATTATCATGTTTCTACATATTTAATGCTTCTGTGCTCATCAGGGTCCAGAGAATTTGATTTAATCCATCTAGAGGCCATGTTCTACTAAAGGCAAGTCATTTTAGTAGACCACATCTGCCTTCTGATTCAATTTTGGATCTAATTTTAGGTACACATTTCACTGAAGTTTGAAAAAAGTATTACCACCCATAGTTAAACATGATGGGACTTTGTCAGAACTCTTAAGCCTATAATTATGTATTCATACTAGTGCTTCCCATTAAAAAATCTCAAAGAGATTTGCAATAAAATTCAAAATAATGAAACAGCATGTTAAACCAAATGGTCAAAAAACAAACACTGTTATATAAAATATCTACAATATAATGAACAGAAAATTTCTAAAAGCGAATAAAAATAGCAATCATGAATTTAAAAATAAAGGAAAAACATTTTTAACAAGTTGGTTATATTAAGGCTATGGAATTAAAATATTTTTGTTAAGTTATAGTGTATAACAAAATAAATATTATATTGTTATACCATTCACCTGCATTTTTAATGGGTCTTAGGGCATCCCCACATTTTTAGCTTTACGATTCTAACAATTAACACTTCTTTGCCAGTCCATCTGGCAAACACGAGTTTTGCTATAGTATTATTAACTAGAAAACAAATGGAACTTGCATTTATACCTTCTCTCATTAGCATGGAATGACCCCTCTAATGCATGCAGCATATAAAGGTAAAACTGATATATGCAGACTATTGATGCAACATGGAGCTGATGTAAGCTGCAACAATCATGAATATGGATATACTGCCTTAATGTTTGCTGGACTCTCAGGTAAATAGTATTTTCCTTTTTCTGTTAAGTATAGTTTCTTATTTACACAAAGAAAAAAACCCTGTTCTTTTCTGAGGGACTACAAAAGTGTTAGGAAGATTTTGCTTTCTATTAAATGTGTAAAAATGGTCATCTTCTATTCAATCTGATGGCATAAGAATGCATATATTTTTAAAGTTATATATTTTATTTTTATTTTTGAGTTCTGATAGAAAAAAGCAGATGATAACAGAATTTGAGGAAATCAACGGGATTGGGAATTTTAGTTTGGTATAAGATATTGTAGCTTGATTTAACATAAATAGAGTGATGGATCTTAATCATGTCCACAGAACTGACTACTTTCTCATCCGTATATTAGGATGATGTTTGGTGCAATGTTCTTTTTTCTTCTCCTAATTGGAGAACATGCAAAATCAAGTCATTGGTATCAATTGATCAGAATAATGGTGGATGGAAGGGTAAATAGCAGACAATTTAAGATTTAAAGAGCTAGAATTGAAGATAGTTTCTTGATACGTTTCATATTTGAAAAGAAAAATGGCTATGTTCTGTGACCACAGATGCTTCCAATTGAAAGTACAGTAAAGAAGAGAAAAGAATTTGAACCTGTGTAATTGATTGTTAGAAAACCAAGTGTTTGATTTCTTCTTTGTTAGCAAAAGGGTTAGCTTTAATAGCTATCCGAGGGAAACCTATATTATTTATAGTTTGTGAAAACATCTTTAAAAAGTCTAAATAAAGTTTCTTCATTTAGGTAACAAAGAAATAACCCGGATGGTGTTAGAGGCTGGAGCAGAGATTGATGTCGTTAATTCTGTGGGGAGAACTGCAGCTCAGATGGCTGCTTTTGTGGGTAAAGACAAAGGATGTCTTGTCTTACCTATTTTTATCTATTTATTAGATTTATAATCTTCTGCTTGTCTAAATATTTAAGATACCTTTTCTGTTTTCCGTTGAACAGAGCTTAATTTCTATCATACGTCAAATTAAATTGTGAAAAAGTATAAAATATTTTGGTAAGAAAAGCATTCTTCCTTTTAGCTAATACACCCATGCACCATTTTGAGTCTGAATATGTGGTACTTTTATATAAAAATTGGATTGATATAGCACATTTGACTAAAGAAATACTGGCTCAAAAAATGGGAATGAGTTTAAAATTATAGGTCAAAAATGAATCTATTTTAGGTCCTGAATTTTCTGAACAGAAGAGTTGATTTGAATCTTATCAATTACCAGTATTATTAAAATTATTTTCAATGTCGTTCTCAGTATTATTTTTTTTAGCAAACTATATTTCATCACCAAATCACCAGAATTAATAATCCTATAGTCTTTCACTTCATAAAAGGAAATCATTTGCTCTCTTTAGGTCAGCATGATTGTGTAACAGTTATCAACAACTTCTTTCCACGTGAAAAGCTAAATTACTATACAAAACCACAAGGACTAGATAAAGAACCCAAGCTTCCAATTAAGCTAACTGGACCTCTACATAAGATCATTACAACTACTAATTTGCATCCTGTTAAGGTACAGTATGCTCTTATTTGGATATGTTTTTTTTAACATGTTGCCAGCTAATTGGATCTGCACAAATGAAATGAAGTCTGTGACTTAACTAATTTGTATCTTAAAGCTGATTTCATATATAAACATTTTATTACTATAGCCCAGTCCTTCTTGTAGTGCCTTTAGTGTCTAATTTTCACATGATACTATATGTATATAAAATATGTTCCACTTGAAACTCACATTTTCTCTGCTTATAGTGTCCCAGATTTTTGAATTACTTTATGACAGGGGTGTCAAACTTACGTCATGGCAGCATCATATAACATATCAAGACTTTGCCCCTTCTCTAAACGGGGCATGGACGTGGCCAGTGCGTGATGCATCTGGATTGTGGACTGAGATTTTAACATCCCTGGTTTATGATGAATGGAGTTTTGTGTTGAAATTCAGCATTCAGTGGCATAATTCAAGCACAATTCTCAAAACTTAACTAATAGCCATGCTAGGTTGGAATTTTTACAGTTGTAGTCAGAACACCTATGGAAGTTACTAGATTAGGTAGATTCATATTCTTCTGAACAAAATCACATTAAAAGGAAGTACATGTCAGTGTAAAGTTTAATTTAGTCATGAAGTGGTTCTTGTGAAATGCTTTATTTTCGGCAAAAAGTGTCTGTTTACCTTTTAAAACATCACTTTCAGGTACCAGATGAAAGATTCTTTTAATAGGATTGTTTATTATATTTGTACTTTGCTCCAATCAGAATGAATTACATGATGCACTTTAAGTTAAGATCCAACCAGTTAGAACAATGATTAGGACATTTTTAAAAAGATTTCAGAAAATCAGCATGGACAGGGATAGAGTGATCTCCAAAATACAAAGGAGCCCTGGCGGCACAGTGGTTAAACTGCAGTATTTCCAGAGCCTGGAATTTGATCTTGATGGGGCTCAAGGTTGACTCAGTCCTCCACCCTTCCGAAGTCGGTAAAATGAGGATCCAAACTGTTGGGGGCAATATGCTGACATAAACCGTGCAGAGTGCACTGTAAAGCATTGTGAAGCAGTATATAAGTCTAAGTGCTATTGTTACTAGAATTGCCAAAGAAACAATGCCATCTAGCCTTAGCATCTCAAATTTTTGAGAAGTGTAAAATTATATAAAGCTTCTCTCTAACAATTCTAATTGATCAGACTGATACTGGTTAGAACAGACAATCTGAAAGGTATCCAACTCTAAAGGGTTTCACTGGTCAACAATAGCATCTTAAATTCTACTTGGAAACTTACTATTAACCATTACAGTCTGTAAAGTTGATGTTGTATCTTCCAAAATAAGTGCAAGTAAGCACATGGAATGTAGTTTCCAAGTAGACTGTAAGGACAGCCCCAAATGTATTGAAATACTTAATATGTGTGATAATGAGGGATAGGCAGTCTAAGGTTAAAGTTTTTGGGGTTTGGGGAGGAAACCACAGAGTCAGGTAGAATATTCCTGACATTTACCACTCTATTGCTGAAATCATATTTCCTGCAATCAAGTTTGGTGCAGTTTACCTTTGTGTCTATTGTGTGCTATTGTATTGTTATGGTTGAAGCTGAAGTATTCATTGACAGGACATCGCAATGTATAATTTTATATACTATACTTAGATCGGACCGAAGGTGGCGTAGTTCTAGATTTTCTAGTTCTAGAATTTCAAGTCTGTGGCATAAGGTATTCTGCAACGAGTAGAGGAGTGGAAAACTTCTTGTGAATATTTCTGGACTTTCTCAACTGTGTTTATATCAGATACGTAATGCGGGTTCCAGACTGATGAGCTGTATTCAAGTATAGGTCTAGCAAATGTTTTGTATGCTCTCATTACTAGTGTGATATTACCGGAGAAAAAGCTACGTAGGATTAGGTTAACAACTCTTAATGCCTTTTTGGCTATGTAGTTACAGTGGGCTCTAGCACTTAGATCATTAGAGATGAGCACTCCAAGGTCCTTGACAGAGTTTGGTTCTGATTTTTTTTTTGCTAATATATAAGACAGAGCATTTATTTGTTGAGATTTGAAGTTGCCATTTGTTTGACCATTCTGATACATAGTTGAGGTCTTTTTGAAGGGTAGCAGTATTGTCTGTGATGTTGAATAGCTTTACATCATCAGCGAAGAGAACGCAGTTGCTCTTAATATGATCACAGAGTGTGTGTGTGTGTGTGTGTGTCTATATATATATTGTATATATTGTATATAATGTATATAATGTATATATACATATACTTATGTATACATATCAATACATGTACATAGAGGCAGAGAGAGAATACACATGTAGTTCTGATAAACTGCACTTGTGAATGTTTGCTATAAACACTTAATTCAGAATTAACTTTATTTCCTTTTTTAAAAAATTCAATGTATTCAGTAGCCTATCTTACTTTCATGAATGTAAAGCAATCTCACACACAAATAAAAACAATTAAATATTGTAGATAACTGTCGTTTGGAAAACACCCTAATTTATGAACAGCATAACCATTTTATGGGGTCCGCTCCACCCTGATCCCCAGGCCATCAAGATTGGGATCAGCCTGATACTCTTTTACAAAGCAGTAAAAAATAAAAAGCTCTCCTGGGTGTATCAAGTGGCACTTTGTAGTGGACAGACTGCAACAAATCTCTTCTGCCAGATCTGATGATGTGGGTACATGGCATGGGGGAGGGGGGACTTTCAAATAAGCCAACCCCATGCCAAATAGGTTTTTAAAGGGTATCATCAGCAATTTGAATTGGACCTAGAAGCAAATTGGTAACCAATGCAACTCACAGAACAGAAAGATAAGATATACATGTGTAGATTCACACACAACTGCACCACGCTACTGCATTTTACACCAACATAAGTTCCAAATAATCTTCAAGGGTAGCCCCATATCAAATACATAATTTATATGAAAGATGACTAGGGCATGAGTAACCTGCATGTAGAGTCTCCTGTTCCAAGAACGGCACACAAGGCTTGAGCAGGAGCCATGAGTGCAGAAGAACCCCAATTGTGCACTGGATCTGTCTTTAGAAAGTAAAACTTACTAGTATATAAATATTTTCTATAGGTTGTGTTGCTGGTGAAAGAAAATCCTCTTTTGGCAGAAGTTGAAGCAATGCAGAAATGTTGCAAAGTGTTGGATCTAATCTGTGAGAAGTGCATGAAGCAGAAAGAAATGAATGAAGTCCTTGCAATTAAAATGCATTACATTAGCTGCATTTTCAAAAAATGTATCCTTTTTCTTGAGCGAGAAGACAAATTGGATGGATTAATCAAAAGGTATGTTATTTTTTCAGTAGATGGTTCTTTTCAATACAATATATTATCTGTGCACAAGTACATATTCTTGTACTTTTAATGTTAAATTCTAACCATGAAACCATTAAATCTTTGGGATGGATGCATGATTTTAGAGGTAAGGTAACTGCCTTATATTTCAGTTTTGTATGTTAGCTACAAATGAAGGAAAAATTACATGATTATACATAGTATATTCTTTAGAAAATAATCCAATGCTATCATTGAAGTGAAAGAATACTGCACTCACAAAATTCCTACATTAAATATTTACATTGCAGATTTTCTTTATGTTGTGATCTTATGCTACACATATAACATTTGCATTATGGGGAGTAAGAAAAAAAGTGGGCAATGTATGTAACTTCAGCTGTATTCACCTTTAATTTCAGCCTGTTAAAAGGCAGAGAGAGAGATGGATTTCCAGTTTATCAAGAGAAAACCATCAGGGAATCTATTCGGAAATTTCCTTACTGTGAAACTACCTTGTTGCAGCAGCTTGTGAGAAACATTGCTCCTGTTGAAATTGTGAGTGTTTCTTGATGAACAGTATGTTGTTCTGTACAGACTGAACATTTAGAATCTATAAGGTATTTCTTTTAGTGTGCATTATTTACCCATTTTCATTGTAATCAAATTCTTTTTTTTTTAAAGACAAATTTTATTAGTTTTACAAAACAATATACAAACAAACAAGGCATAATAACATAAAAGATCTTTTCTGAAAAAACCAATATAACATACAAAATAGTTCCAAATTGTAATATATATATTTACGTTATCTGTTCAACTTCATATCTTATCCCAACTTCTCCTTTTCATTCTATTATCCAAATTATATTTCTTACTAATTAAAATTGTATTGCTTTTCAAAAACAATACACAAACAAATGAAACATAGAACATAAAAACATAAAACATCTTTTCTGAAAGTTGCTTGATCCCGGGTTAAAACTCTTCGCACAGACACAAATTCAAAAATCATATTCACTTTATATACCATTCCATACCTTATTACCATTTTCAATTTTCTATATAGCTTCTTCCCTCTTTTATCTTTCTTAATTTTATTTTATTTATCTCATCTCAGTTTGATTCATAATACTTATCATTCTTTGTCTGTTCTATTTCCAGCTATCCATTCGTCTTTTCTCTTTAAACAAACTTCTCCTGTACACTGATAGGAGTGACACCTTTTACTCTTTCCCCTAGCTTAATAATACTTAATATAACACTTAACTTATATTGGGATTCTGTTTAGTACATTCTAAAATTACACAATGAGTTTTGTGAGAAAGGAAAAAACACAACAATAACAAAGAAAAAGCATATAAGACCACTATCAATGCCATTAAGAAACTAATCATACATATTAATACTCCTTTATATCTTAAACATTTTATTCTAGATACACATATAAAAACACAATCTTATGTACCTTACAGAATCCCTTTTTTCAATTAAATTTACCCATTGTCTCTAAATAAGTTTTGTTTCTTTAAATCTTGCTTCCCACCATTAAGGCTTCTCATCCCCTCCTTTCTCTCTTGCTTATTCTTCTCCTTGCCCTTTTTACCCCTTTGTCTCTCCTCCTCCCTTTTCTTCTTCTGCTTTCCCCCTTTCTGTTGTTTTCTAACCTTGTATCCACCTTTCACCTCATTTTTCTCTTTTTTGGTTGTTTTTTCAAGCCTTAAAATCTCCTTTTTCTTTTCCTCTTTCTCCTCCTCCCCAAATAGAACCATTTGTTCATCAAAGATGTCTTCTTCTTTGTCCCAGTCGTCCTGCTGCGCAGTCAATTTTTCATAAGTGCATACTGCCATTTCTAGAAATTGAAAAAGAGTGCCCAAAGTATCTTTTCCATCTTGTTCTTCTTTTTTATATTTTTGATATTCAATTTTTAATTCATCCACTAGCAATGCCATTGTAAAGAGAAAATTTTTTTCCAAAACAACCACCCAAGTGTTTTTAATCAAGAATAATTCCCAAAAGTTCCAAAGTCACCAAAGAATCCAAATAAACTATTTCTTTTAATACTTTTTTCTTTCTTCCATTTCTCTTTCTGGGGTTGCCATTTGATCAAAGAGTTCCAATTAAGATATATCTTTTAGAAGCCGTATTAATATTCAAAGCTCTTTAAAATTCTAGGCAATCTCCTCCTTTTTCACATTCTGCTCCAATTTTTTTTCCTCTCCCTTCCCACTTACAGCAACAATTTTCCTTTGAATGTTCAGAAATCCATACCTCCAATGCGGGTTTTCCGATTTCTTTTAAGATTCTATCGCTGTCATGTTCGGAAGGAGAGTGAAAAAAAAAAAAAAAAGCTTTTCCTTTAATTTACATTCACCGCTTGACACATTCTGGAAACAATGTTTCTTTAGCAAGTTTCAAATTCCAGGATACTTTCACTGTTACTTGTCCTGGTCAGCAAAGATCACTTTCAATTCTTCACAGCTCCTCCTGCACTTTCTTTTTCCGGCTGAGCTCTTCTATGTGGCGGCCATTGCTGACCGCCGCTCAGCTGCCTTTGGAAAAGGGGGTTTCGCTGGCTAGGGAAGAGAGGCGTGATATCTCTCGACCCTGCCAGACCCCCCCCCCGTCTTCGCCACCTTCTATGGAGGTGGCTTAGCCCCGAAGCCAAATGGCTCGGGGCACTCGGGCAGTGAACACAGGCAGAAACCGCGCACAGTCGCGGATTCCTGCCTGCTCTGAAGCGCTGCAGACCGGAAACCTGTAATCAAATTCTAAATAATGTGAGAAAGCGGGGGGAGGCAACTTTCTGCAAGTTTGGTTCTTTGGGTGATTATCTCAAAGTACATGCTTCCTCACGTTTTGCCTCATGACTTTTGCCTTAGCTCGCTCTTGCTAACCTTTTAAGTTTCTAAGACTCACATAGCAGTCATGAAAACCTATGGTACCAGGTATTATGGATTATTTTAGTGTCACCTAGCTAAACATTTGGAGGCAAAACAACTAGCACGTAGCACAAACATGAACCAGTCTGGCACTGGCTGCAGGGAGGTGGGTGAAGCAATCTAAACAGATGCTACAGTGCATCTGTTAAAAGTTAGCTAATCCAGCTGGATAACTGACCTGAACACAATGAGGCAACAAAGATACAGAAGCAGCAACTGTGCTTCCAAGCTTAGTTGCTGCTTTGTCCTTGCCT